ATTTCAGCTTATAAACACTTTAGGTTTGACCAAAATATTTACTATTCTATCCCTAAAATACTTCTTTTTAAAACAAAACTCTTCGTATACCCACTTCTTAAGCTACTTATTATTAATTTCAGCACTTTTATCCAAATGCGTAACTACTTATTTTTTAAATCAGCTTCAGCACTTAAAAGTGTTTTTCAGCACATAATGCTTATCAGCTACTCTAAATCAGCTAAGCCAAGCGGGCTCTAAAACTTTTTCCTAGCAATAGGGTAATATTAAACCAAATATCTAGAGTCCGAGCGGGTGATTGTACATATTTACACTTGATTAAATAAAATTTTCAGTTTAACCAAAAACAAAACAAAAAAATATCTAACAAAGAGCAAAGCTTCTCAATTTCCAATAGTATTCGGGCAAATTCGATCATTTTCCCTAAAACTAGAATAGATAAATCTTAAAGCCCTAAACTATTAATAAACCCCTTCTCCAATCCGTTAAACCCCATTTCAGTTCCTTCTCTTCTAAAAAAAAAAACTTTCTAGAAGATTCCTTCCCTGCATTTTGATCAGGTAAAAAATCTTCCTTTGAAAGTTCCATTTTCTTTATCTACACCATTCTTTTGTAGGGTTTTTTTAAGACTTTAATGTTACAGGAGTTTGGTGTGTTCTTGGTTCTTATTTTGATTTTCCAGTGAGTAAATTTACGAAAAAATAACTCAAATAAGTTTATGCTTTTCTTTTTTTGTATGATTCTGGGTTTTAAATAAGTTTATGTTTTCTTAAAAAAAATGTTAGTAGCTATAATAACTGAGCATTTGTATTGAGTCCTATTATGTTAATGATCTGTATCCATTCTGCTATGTTCAGGCCCATTTTAATTTTATGTTTTGAATCGTAATTTGGCTCAAACCTTGTACGTGTAAAAAAAGTTCATAATATGATGTCTGCTATCTGTTTGATTTTTGTCTTTGACTCTGTTATATATTCTCCAGACAATTCAGTAAATTTATTTAGAATCTTAGTGTGCATGATAAGTATTTGAGTCTTTCACATAAGTTTCAACAAAATAGTACTAACAAAAAATGAATGTGAAAAAATGAGATTAAGCCATCCACACATTTTATCAATCCAATTGTTCAATCTTTTAAAAAAGTAGTCATTGACTCTTTGCTACAATTTACTGTTGTATTGGTCTTGCTTGTTATTTGAATTGATTGGATTTGTTGAACTGCTTAAGCGTATTCCCTTCCGTCAAAAGGTAGACAGATTGAGTGGCTTACAAGGTGTTTTTATGTCCATATAATGAAACTAAAAGGGTATCCTTGCAAATTCAGATTTTCTGTATTCCTTTGGAGTAAAGGTCTTACGGATAATTTACCGAGTAAAAACTGTAAATTTTGTCAAGTCATTTGCGTTGGAGCTTTCTGTGACAAAATTGCCTGCTGACTATTCAAAAGAGATGTATGTGTACTTGCTAAAGCTCTTCAGAATGCTCGTGGATCACTCCTTTTCCGTATTAGCAGGCTTTTATTAAATGATTATAATGATGACTATTATTGGCTTTACTTTCAGGGATTAGCAAGATGGATCTCAAGAATGTTAAGGTTCCTAAGATACCTGGTGGTGGTGCCGTTTCTGCTTTGATCAAGTTGGGAGTTGTTGCTGGTCTTGGTGTGTATGGAGTTGCTAACAGTCTCTACAATGTTGACGGGGGGAATCGTGCCATTGTTTTCAACCGTATTCTTGGTGTTAAAGATAAGGTATTTCTTGTCCTTTCCCTAATGGACTAAGATGATTTTCGGACCCTTTTTTCAGTACATATATAAGATTCTCTTGATGTCTAGCACCCGCCAGACAGTCATAAAATCTATCTGTGTTTAAGAAATCTAGTTAGGTCAGAGCTGGATTTAACTGTCTTCTACAGTTAAGGAAGTTTTTCTTGTATCGTTAATATTTCCTTTAGGATATGCTTGATGGATTCTTTAGTGACATGGTTTAGTGGGCAGAATATATATACGTTATTCGTTCTTGTAAGATAGAGATCAATGTGTTCATATTTCTTCGATACCGTGATGTCCAAGCAGATTTAAGTAGTTAATCAATCAACCAACTATACCTCAATGTCAGACCAGTTGGGTCTATTATATGTATCTTCTACATCTTTTTGCTCTATCCAGACGCATTTCATCCCAAAATCTAATAATTTGTCTTTCAAGCCGACATATTAATTCTTCAAACTAGAGGTTTTCTAAATGTCATACTTATGCTTGATGCCTATATACAGATGTAAAACTCTAATCATGTAGTCTCACATAGTGTAGAGGGATAAAGGGAGGTTGTTGAAGTGTAAAAGTAATCAAATTATGTTGAATCCTCAAGCGCATTCAAGTAATATATTTTGAATTTATTGTCATCTCTTTGTTATCTTTTATCTTCGATATGGTTCTTTGATGTTGTACAGCCTAGTTTATGACCTGTTTTTCGTCTATTATTGACATGCATTCTACATGCCTTATGCATTTTTGATACATGATATTGAATATCTTATTAATAGGTTTATCCAGAGGGGACACACTTCATGATTCCATGGTTTGAAAGGCCTGTCATATATGACGTTCGTGCACGTCCACATCTAGTTGAAAGTACTTCAGGCAGTCGCGACCTTCAGATGGTAAATTCTTGTCTCAACATTTGCATTGCTCCCTACTACAAGATATTAAAAGGAAAGAGAAACCAAAAGATTTTAAATTGGTAGGAGAATAGTATTAACATGTGGTAAAGAATGTACAAACTTATGAAGGATCAAAGGTGTTCATCTGATGTTCCTTAATCCTAGGAGCATAAAGTTTTTCTTCTCTCAACTCCCTACTATCAGATAGAACAAGGAAAAGAGAAACCAAAAGATTTGGGATTGGGAGGAACAGTATAACATGTCGTAAAGAATGTACAAACTTATAAAGGTGTTTATCTGTGTTTTCCTTAATCCTAGGAGCAGAATGTTTCTGTGCTATAAGAATTACAGGTTCTAAAATTGATCTTGTTCCTTAATTATTTTCAGGTTAAAATTGGACTTCGGGTTCTCACGCGTCCAGTACCAGACCAACTGCCCACTATTTACCGAACTCTTGGTGAAAACTATAATGAACGGGTCCTGCCTTCAATTATTCATGAAACTCTGAAAGCTGTGGTTGCACAGTACAACGCTAGCCAGCTCATCACCCAGAGAGAGGTACGTGCAAGAGGACATAAACCTACTTAGTGTGTTGATGTTGCTATTGGTAGAAGTAATTATTGCGCTATAGGTCATAACTGGTAATATTGCATCTGTACTGTATGGTGTGGTTGGTGCCAAATGTAAGGAATGTTCTGATATATGCTCCACTTCCTTCTCTGAAGTAGGGGACTATGGTGGATAGCTGCAAATTTTCTATTTGGCTGCCGTAGGAACTCATTGGAATTTTTAAGGTTCTTCACCATCTTTGCTTAAACTTGTGTACTTGTGCAGAATGTTAGTAGAGAAATACGGAAGATCTTAACTGAAAGGGCAGCCAACTTCAACATCGCTCTAGATGATGTGTCCATAACTAGCTTGACTTTTGGAAAGGAATTCACGACTGCAATTGAAGCAAAGCAAGTGGCTGCTCAAGAAGCTGAGAGAGCAAAGTATATTGTGGAAAAAGCAGAGCAGGATAAACGAAGTGCTATTATTAGAGCTCAGGTCATAATATTTTCCAAACCATATCCTTCTTTCTTTAATCTAATCTCCAGTTACTTCTTCAACTTGTCATTTTATATGTAATATTATGATTAATGGTGCTTGAATTCCTTCTTGCAGGGTGAGGCTAAGAGCGCGCAGCTGATCGGTCAAGCTATTGCCAACAATCCAGCGTTTATCACGCTCAGGAAAATTGAAGCAGCAAGAGATAATGCACATACCATTTCAAATGCAGCAAACAAAGTGTACTTGAGTTCTGATGATTTGTTGCTCAACCTTCAGGGCTTGAACTTGGAGACAACAGGAAGAAAGTAACCAGGAAGCGACCATGGCAAAACGGTTTGCTATTTCACCATTCCTCTTTTCTTCCTCAGCTTGTTAATAGTTGGGAACTATTCTTGGATAGGGAACTGGAGATGGCCTCATCGATGTTATTAACTTGGCGATTGAGATAGCAATTTTGTCTCGTAGTCTATTTTTCTTTAAAACTTCAAATTTTCCTTTTCTGGTCATTTACTTCTTTTAAATGTCGCTCCTTGGAGAATAAATATGAAAATCGAAGGTATAAAGAGAAATCACATCTAGGCCTGCTTTCCATCTCATCCTTTATCAGCTGTTTTATTTCCTAAATTAAATGTGGAAGCCTTGTCACACCTCCTTTTTACACACTTACCCCGAAGGATAAAGTATATAGGGAGTTTTTCCATTTAAAGTGACATTATTCGAAATGTGATTATTTATTTATTTTTAGAGTCGCCACTTGGGATAGGATTGGCTTTTGGTGTCCCAAGTCACCGGTTTAACTTGAATCCCAAATCGAGGAAAATTTCGACTTCCCAATTGGAGTCTGCAAACCAGAAATTCTGAATAAGGAATTCTGTTGACCCAAGGGAAGGTGTCAGGCACCCTCGGATCCCGTGGTTCTAGCACGGTCGCTTAAACTATTATATTTGGCTAAAATCTGATTTTTATACATGTTGTCCTATAGTGCAATTTTAAGATTATTCACCGCTTTTAGTTAAATTTTAAGAAAGTGAACGTCGTTTAAAAACGTGTTTCGGATCACGTCACATGAAATGCACCCGGATCCTCGACACATTTTTATTCAACGTTTTTAGATTTGGATTTGGGTCGCATGAAATGAACACCTGTATTTAGGAAAGTAATTTTTAAAATAGCGCGCCTAAAACAACTACGCATTTTAACTTTGCGAGGGCCATGGAAATTTGCTAAATGGCACGCCTCGAATTCTAATGGTAAACAAGATTAATTAAACGAGGGCCATGCAAATGAGATTTTTATCTGGCACGGCACACCTCAAATTATTCCAAAGGGGCTTTACTCAACCGAAACAAACTACGGATGTTCATAATTTGGATTAAACTATTAAAGCAGCGACTAAAAGACATAATAAAGAACTAATAAAAAATGTCAAACAAGTGCCAAAAACCAATGAAGGTAGATTCTTCTCTAGAATTAAAATTTTAACTCACAACTTCCTGCAAATCATTTAAGAAAAGAAATGAGCATTAGCAACTTTGATACAAGTCAATGATAAAGCTATTGCCGTCTAAGAAACTTGCTTATTAGATTGAAATTCTCGAAAACTGTCTACAGATGATGCCACAAAGCCAATCCAGATTTAGCATTTTAGCAAAGTTTAACACACTGATACTCATCCAACAAACAAACAAACGGAACATTACCTACACAAAACTAGATGGCTATTGTTACTATGAAATAAGTTAGGTCCTATCAAACAAAGGAAAGGTAAAGACAATATACGGAGGTTCGATGTGAAAATGAAAAGGAACAATAGAAAAATGCATAATTCATACTCGATGCAACTGTAGCGGCGTGAGCTCTAGCTGAAACTAACACTTTAAGAGTGACCAGAGCATTGTAACTGAAAAGACTTGCATTTACTACTTAAATGAACTAGTAACAAGAACATGATTAAGAAACATTTAGTAAGGAAATTGACTGTCCAAAAACCCAACTCTTGCAATACACAGCACAATACACATGGACTAAAAATAGTTTAATTATGAATAAAAGAATCCCTACACCTAACACTCGTTTGGCATTAAGGCACATAGATTGAATTGAATTCAAACTCTTCAACACTGTAAGAATATCAAAAAAAAATAACCAAATCAGGTATCTAAATTTATTTGAACCATTTTTTCGGATGGCTGCCTTCATGTTTAATATGCTAACTAACATATCCACGGTTTCCACACAAATATTAACAGAGAAATTCATCACAGCCCAAAACCAGCCAGCATTTATGGAAACACTTATGTTCCTTATCATAAAAAAAATAGTTACAAAGCTGTTGTGTTTACCGGCTAGGCGAAGAACATAGTGAAGTTGAGCCTAATACAGGCTAGCGAAAACAGTGACGACGAACTCAGCAAGAAATTCCAGCAAAACAGCAGCGGATTTACCAGCAGCGAACAGTGATTTCCTCGATTCGAAAAGCTTTCAGAACCCCGAAAATACACCGCAACTGATTTGAAGTCGAAAACAGCTTTTTATTATTTATTTTTTGAGCTTTTCTTTAGTTTTGGAGTTTTTTTTTCCAGATTTTTGACCTCCAAAACTCTTTCTCCAAATCCCAAGCTCTTTCTCTTAGCCGTTCAGATGTGTTCGATTGAGTGTCTAAATTCTCAAATCAAATCTGTGTTCAAGGGAATGAAGAGGGAGAAGAAGCTACTGGGTCAAGAAGGAGAGGGAATGGCCAGAGATGGAAAATGGGGAGAGGGTTCTCGTTTTTGGCGTGTCCCCCTCAGGTCTGATGGATAGGGATTTAAGTAGAGAGGATTTGGGCCAATCCGGGTCAGGTCATGGGTGGTTTGGGCTTGGGTCAATAGAAGTCTTGGATCAGATTTGGGTTGGGTGAGAGTTGGCCCAATTTTATAAGACAAACCTTTTTTCAATTCTTTCTTTTATTTTTCTAATTTTCCTTTTCTTTTAAAATCCTACAACTTAAAAATCTTAAATTATCCAAAAGTGTGAAATTAAACTAAATAGCTAATTATAAAATTATAAAAACTATTTAATCCTAAATTAAAAAAAAATCAATAAAAGGAAAAGTGTAAAAATGAAGTATTTTTTGTGATTTTCGATTTTTATAAAACAAATAGTTACTAATTAATCCTAAAAATGTAAAGATAAAGCCTAAATGCAATGCATGATATTTTTGGGTATTTTTCCATGATTTAAAGTAAAAATTAAACATGCACAAAATGCAAACAATTAAAAATTCTACAAAAAAATCCTAAAATGGCCGAATTAACAAAAATCTATTTTTCTTGAGATTTTATAGGAGTATTTCGTATAGGGCAAAAATCACGTGCTTACAAGCCTTATCTTTCATATCTCCAGTTCTAAATGTGTTTAGTCTGACTTTTCGATTATATGTTTCTTCCTCCCTAATTATTGTCTCAACTCTCAAGTAGAGCCTGTTGGCAACTCAAGTCTCAAACCATGCTTTTTTTCGGTAAATTTTCAATGTTTTTATTTATTCAGGACGTTCAAAAGAAAAAGAAGGGATATTTTTTACATTGTATAGCCGTCACCTGAAAAAATTATCGGCGTTATTCGGATGTTAAAAAGAAAAAGAACGGATTTTTCACATTGTATAGCCGTCAACCTAAATAGATTATCGGCAGATATATAACATATGCATAATTAATGTATAATTTAGGTATATTAGTTAGTGAATATAAATATTTTGCGGTTAAGTGTGTTACTTCCCTGAAAGAAACAAGTTGGCCGACTCTTGTATTAGTTAACATCAAGACTCAATTAAAACAACTAGGTTACGTTATATCAACCATAACTTACTCTAATTTAATAAACTCCTTATTTAAACCTTTGGGAGCCAATTCGTTAACATACTAAATGAGGGAAGTGATCTTTTACGTCAAATAAAGGCGTGAATTAATTCTGGCCTTTAAACCTTTTACTAAAAACCCATATCCTTCAAATAGCGAATGAACCAGAACCCTATATCATAAATCTTTGCCTTAGAGAGTTTTTAGCATATTAAATTTCCCTTTTTCCTTCAATATTCAGTTATATATATAATTAATCCTCCAAAGTGATATTCATGCATTGAACTAAAATCTTAAAAATAAAATTTACAAGATTCAACACACATATTGATGGAGGCCATAAAGAAATTAGGAACAGAGAATGTTGTAGCATCTGAAACCCAGTTGGAAATACCCTTATTAGAAGATGAACAAATTGTTGAAAAACCAAAGAAAACACCAGCACAAAAGGTCATTAGAAAAACATTCAAGAAAACAGCTATTTTAGCCAATCTTTTACCCTCAGGTTCTGTTCTTGCATTCCAAATTTTATCACCAGTTATAACACATGAAGGCCAATGTCATTCCTCAATTAGCCATTCTATGACATTAGGCCTTTTAGCCTTTTGTGCAATCTCTTGTTTTTTCCTTAATTTTACGGACAGTTTTCGCGACGAAAGAGGGAAAGTTCGTTATGGATTTGCAACATTCAGAGGTTTATGGATTATTGATGGCTCGAATATTACCATTCCTCCTGAGGAAGCAACAAAATATAAGTTGAAATTTTTGGATGTGTTTCATGCTTTGTTATCTATACTTGTTTTTGGCGCTGTCGCGGCGTTTGATCAAAATGTGATCAAATGTTTGTATCCTTCTCCATCACCAGAAACTCAAGAGATTCTTGCAATTTTGCCTATGGCTGTTGGCGTAATTTGCACACTGCTGTTTGTTGCATTCCCTACTACTCGCCATGGAATTGGCTTCCCTCTTTCACGTCGTTAGGAATACTCATTTCTTTTCTCTTATTCAATTTAATTCTCTTTATGTACGAAATTACAGACGACATATAGTGAATGGATGAGTCCCTTAACTTTGAAACAGCTCCCTTTCTACTTTCCTTCATAGGGGAGGTAGGAAAAAAAAAATTGGATAATCGCTGATACAGGCCGATCGGGATCCCAGCAGTCAAATCATCCTCACCTCCTTCCGATCAAATATATTCTAAGATGTGTAGAGGCAGGAGAAAGGAAGGAGGAATTGATGACCAGCTTTAGATAGGTGAATTTTTTTTTTTTTAATTTTAATGTTTATGTATCAATTGTTTAATGCTATTAACACAAGGAACGTTACCAAAGTAAACAAGATTCAAGATATGTTTTAGGTCATGAATTTGATTCTCAATTGACATTTTAGTAATGTTTTGAATATCGTCTTTGATCTTACTTCCGCCTCCGTAAATCCTCTCAAATTGTAGAAATTAATACTACTATTTACATTGTACTTTGTCGAAAAGTTTCACAAAATTCCATTTTGTCTCACCAAAATGCCTCATTTCATGTTCGTGTAACAAAACAGTTGGAGTCGAATCATGTTCGTGTAAAAAAAAAAAGTAATTAGATAAGTCGTTATCAAAATTGAGAAGGACAACTGGTGAGGAAATTCAGGAAACATAGTAACAAAATGCATGGTGCATGACGTGATTGTTTATCGGGGACATTGGTCACGGTAACCATTCTCAGCTCAAATCAAGTTTTAATTGGCCTTGGTATGGTTCTCTTTTTTTTTTTTTCCTTCTTCTTTATTTAATTTTGTCTTAATAAATGAAAGGTTCTTGTAATAATTTAAGATTTGTAAGTTCAAGCATGGTAAGAGCGAAGCGTTATAATTTTATCCATAATAATTGATAATTGATTTGTGTTTTAATAGTTCTAGCTTAATAAATAAAGATTTACATTTGAAAACACATTCAAACTCAACCGCGTAGGCATTTTTCCGCTTGGCTACAAATAAACAAATGTGGATTATAGCCTATGCATGCGGGCAGTTTCACCGCTTGAAATATTTATTGCACCGTCTCTCTAAGTTAGACCAGTTAGGCTGCGACAGTAGCCACAAGAAAATCTTCCAAGTCTTGTCAAATAGAAGATGGAGATGAATACAAGAGACAAACAAAGGAAGCTTGTAGATGCCCAAAGAAAGAAGCATATCCATATACTATAAGATATATCACATTTTATTTATTATCCGTAGCTTCAATTCCAGTATAGCTTCCAAGTTAATTACGTGTCCCAATTGCAAGGAAACAGTGATCGGGGGTTAAGCACAACTACAGCTATATGTAACACGTGAACGCCTTAAAGTAGATTCCTTTTGCACCTTGTTAGTTGTTGTTATTACCATTTTCCAAGTTCTTTTAGCTGATCGATGACTATCAAATGATGATTGTATGAGAGCTTCTCAATTTTGTTCTGGCCGCGCAATGCTCGTTGGAGTCGAATTAGTTAAGCAGAAATCATAATGCACATATGTTATGCAACTAATGATAAAATAGGAACTAGTATTATTTTAGTAAAAGCAGTTAATATCATCCGTATATACGTTACTTGTAGGTATTTTGGGAAAACATGTATATAATTTCCAAGTTTTGGAAATTTGGAGATTTCAAATATGTGATTTGAGTTTTGGCCAAAATGTGGGTCAAATTTATGGCCAAATATGGGATTTGAAAATAAATTTCAAATTAAATTTGGAAAATTGTATGGCCAAACAGGGGCAGCATCCTCGCAGCTACAATATATTAGCTCCCGTTTAGACAGTTTTTTTTTTACTTCGTTTCCATAAAGAAATTGAAAACATTGTTTGTTCATGAAATTTGTTTAGTTTTTTTTTTAAAAAAAATTGAAGAAAAATGTCCAAGTTCCAAAAACTAGTTTGGGCGAAATTTTTTCTTCCTCTCACAAAATTTCAATTTTTTCATAGTAAAATGCATGTCCAAACACAACTTTAAGTTTCAAAAATTATTTTTCAACACAACTTCAAAAATTCTTTTTCAAATTTTAAGCAAATTTATGTCCAAACACAAGCTAAAAGTATATTAACTATCCTTGGATAAGCAACAATTTTACAATGTCAGCTTTAGATTTTGGCTTAAATACTTGACATTTTGACATTATTTCACTTCTTAGTTTCCTTGTCAACTTCAACTTCAAATATTACTTCTTTATTAAATCTCAACCAACTCATCATGTCCAAATGCTTGCTTACATAATATAAGCCAATTCTATTCTAAGGTGAGTTTATATCTAACTTAAATGTTGTTATCATTTCTTTAATTAATCTCAATTAGATATAGTAAACACCTCTCTTCTTTATGAGAACTACTAACAAGTCAAATTATAAACGCATAGGAACATGACAGTAGAAGATAGGGCTTTGCATGGATCAGATCGGATTGGATTTAGCATATTTTGGATCGGATTTCAGATTCTAGAAAATGCAGTCCGAATCCGATCCGAATCAATATCGGATGGGATTAGATTTTAAAGTTTGGATCTGATCGGATTTCGGATTATTATGCCTCAAAGTTGCAAACTCAAATTTATATTTTCTTTGTAAAAGAGGCAATACAGTAAGAAAAATTCATGTTTCTGCAATTATGAGAGTACTATGGTGCCAATATAGCTGAATCCATCAATTGTAAAGGTAATAACTTGAAAGAAAATATAAAGGATGTACTAACTATCCAAAATTAAAATTTAATATTTATACATGCCCTAATTATTTTGAATTTCGGTTCGGACTGGATTGTGCCGTATTAAAATTATACCAATCTGAAACCGATCCGAAATCTGAAATTTCAATAAACACAATCAAAAATCCGGTCCAATCAAAAATTGAACGGATCGGTTTGGATTTCAGATATCCGATCCAAATGAACAGCCTCAATAGAAAAGTTTAAAATACGGCATTGTTACAAAAACGCGTGGCCGTATGTCTGATGAAGATAGTGGACTTGACCGGTAAGCTATTGCTATCAGAGCCGAAAGTCATCGCAGCCTAAGACGGCTAATTGATTTAATGCCCAACCTGTTTGAGTGTAAAATAGGAGTACTAGTAGCACCCAAGTGAAGTTTCTTTTTATTTATTTCAAAATTTAATAAATAAAGTTATTCGATATCTATAATAATGAGAGTTTGCAAGTACTCCCTTCGTCCACGTTTACTTGTCCACTTTGGACTTTTCACGTCTCTTAAGAAATAATAAGTATAGTATATATTTTACCATATAACCCCTAATAATGATAGCCTTTCAAAAAGTCTTGGGAAATAAGTTTGAAAATGAGTAATTAATAATAAGGGTAAACATGAAAAAAAATATCTTTCTCATAATTTAGTATAGTGGACAAGTAAAAATGAAAATATACTTTTAGTATAATGAACAAGTAAAAGTGGACTGCGAGAGTATAAAATATGAAAGATAATATAAATACCCAATAAACTTAGTTAAAATGTGCGCAAGTCGAACCCACGTAATAAAAAAGAATAGGAGTACTAGTAATGGATAGTACCGCTTGTTGATTATATACGCACAACACCAAGTCACCAACACCCACTAGACGAAAACATAAATGAGTCATTACTGGTCATTACTCGGGGGCTAAGGTATTCCAAAATAAGGTGGCGTTTACTTGAAAAAGTTTTAGAAGATTTTTTGAAAGTAAGAAATTTCAATCTTTTTCGAAGAGTATTATCAATTGAAGACCAATTTATTTTTATTAATGTTTGCAAAAGTTGAAGAAGTTCTTCTTTTTAAGTATTTAGTTGAAAAGCGATTTAAAGTACCTTTTCCAATTTATTTTATGTAGCATTTTTACCCGATTATAAAATTCAAAAAAGAATTTAAGATTTTTGAAATTTATTCTTTTAAACTTCCAATGATATTGTGGCTATGCAAGCATAGGGGTGGCAAACATGGCCAGGTTGGATATTGACGGGTCGAAAACGGATAATATAAAAAAGGATAAATTATCATATCCGACCGATATGTAACACGGATAAAATATGGTTAACCGATGGATAATAGAAATATTCATATTATTCTTGACTTCTTGAATATGATCACTTTGGAAGAATTCTTAGTCTTCCAAATTTGAGAAACCTCCCGTCTGAATCTTACAAATATAAAAGTTAAACTCATTAGTTATTCATCTATTTTTTGAGTGGATAATATGATTGTTATTCATATTTGATCCGTTTTCAAGTTTTTATTATCCAACCTTTTTTTAGTGATAATATGAATGGATAATTATTTTGTTAATCTATTTTGCCATCGCTATGCAAGCATCATTAAAGTAAAAGGAGGTAATCACAGGACAGGACTGCGCAGCAGATATTTTCGTTTCGAATTGGTCATCATCTCTTAATTATAATGCAAGCATTTGCCAACCAAGATCCAATTCCATTTCATTTTTCTTTTTCACCCAAATGAGGGTAGATCTAGTTGCCTATATCTTACTACGTAAGTTTTACTTAGTCAAATATTTACAAAGCCATGTGAAGAAGTAAAACAAAACAAAAGGAAGAATCTTGGCAGTTGGGGTTGTCACATACTCATAAGAGTGGATTACACGTGTCTAAGGACAAGCATTTTCTAGAATTAAGGACAGCAAAACCAAACCTCATTCCACAAAACAGCGGCCGTCGTTGTGTAATAATCTATATCAAAAAGCCGGCAGGTGCCGTCAATCAACATCTATAGCGCTTTTGTCTTTCGAAACGCCGGCGCGTCCACGTAATCCCATACACCTTTTTCTATTATTAACTCTCTTGGGCGGCTTCCCACCTCCTGTCATACTCTATGTTAACCGCGTTCAAGAAAAAAAATTTAGCATAACCTAGTTAATTTTCACGCAAAAAGAAGAAAGGAAACATATTACTAATTGATTAGGACTAAAAGATAAACTATTATTAATTGGTTTTGTTAAATAGTGAGTGCTAAATTTTTTATTTTAAGCCATATGTTTACCCTCAAAATCGAAAAACAATTGAATTTGTAAGTGATTTTAAGGATACGTGGATTAACTTGACACAAAATAATAAATTAAGTTGCAATTTGAATAAACAATGATAAAGCAAATTCAAACCACAGGAATGGGATAGTTTCAGTCTTGGGAAGTCAGCCACCCTCGAACTGGATGTCCTTCAATCAGTATCAAGATAATAGAACAAGAGCTTAAAGAGAAAAAATAACAGTGTATTGCTTTTGAGTGCGTGTTACAATGTATTAAATGAATTATCAGACTCCCTTTATATAGTATAGGAGTCCTAATTTAAGTA